CCAAAACCTATGCCTCGGCTGCTAAGTACCCTCAGTGGCGAGATGCTATGCAGCTGGAGTTGGCGGCTCTGTCTCAGAATAACACATGGTCTGTCTGCTCGTTGCCTGATGGTAAACGTCCAATTGGCTGCAAATGGGTGTTTAAGACGAAGTTCAATCCCGATGGCACCGTCGAACGTTTTAAAGCTCGATTAGTCGCTAAAGGATTCACACAAGTCGAAGGTATAGATTTTTTGGACACTTTCAGTCCCGTGGCTAAGATTACGACAGTCCGTACTCTTCTTGCTTTGGCTGCTGCACAGGGTTGGTTTTTACAGCAAATGGATGTTTCGAATGCATTTTTAAATGGCGAGCTTACTGAGGAAATTTATATGCATCTTCCTCCTGCCTATGCTGATCTTAAGGGGGAGTCAGTACCGACTGGTTCCGTATGTAAACTTCATCGATCTCTTTACGGCCTAAAGCAAGCCTCCCGCCAGTGGAATCTGCGCCTTACCCCGGTTCTTCTGGATTCTGGTTTTACACAGTCCACAGGTGACAATTCTTTGTTCACAAAGGTAATTGGTGCTCGGGTTGCTGCAATTCTGGTTTACGTCGATGATTTACTTATTACAGGGAATGATGCTCAGTTGATCAGTGAGTTAAAGGCTTCTCTTCACTCGAATTTCCAGCTCAAAGATCTCGGAGATATGCGTTATTTTCTTGGGATAGAGATTGCTCGATCGAAGGATGGAATTTTTCTCTGTCAAAGGAAGTACACATTGGAATTGCTTGAAGAATTTGGGATGTTAGCGTGTAAGCCTCTCTCCTGTCCGATGGAGTTTGGTCTGAAACTCGGACAGGATTCAGGCGATCTTTTGCCTGATCCCACACATTATCGTGCATTGCTTGGGAAACTCATCTACTTATCTATTTCATGCCCAGACATCAGTTTTAGTGTGACGAAACTCAGTCAATACATGTCTGAACCTCGTACGTCTCACTTGCAAGCTGCGTATCGCGTCCTTCGCTACCTAAAGACCTCTCCGGGACATGGCCTTTTTTATCCTTCGAAGTCTGACCTTCGTCTAAGTGCATACACGGATGCTGACTGGGCCGCTTGCCCGGACTCTCGCCGCTCCGTCACTGGGTTTTGTATTTTCTTAGGAGACTCGCTTGTCTCTTGGAAGGCAAAGAAACAACCGACTATATTCCGCAGCTCCGCTGAAGCCGAATACAGGGCCATGGCCCAAACCACGTGCGAATTAGTATGGCTGGATTCTTTGCTTCGGGACTTGCGTGTTGAATGTAGTCGGCCTGTCTCCTTATACTGTGATAATCAATCGGCGATCCACATAGCGAATAATCCCGTTTTTCATGAACGGACTAAGCACATCGAGCTTGATTATCACTTTGTTCGAGAACGGGTTAATTCGGGTTTCCTCAAACCTCTGCATGTTTCTTCGCATGACCAGCTTGCCGATATTCTGACGAAACCTGTTCTCGTGGAACCTTTCCGACGTTTGCTTGGCAAGATGGGTATACATTGCATCTATACTCCATCTTGAGGGGGAGTGTTACAGGTTGTTATGGTTGTTCTATCTATACAGATTTTATTCTTATCACTTATAACTGATGTATAGGAAAGTTTGTTTATTTCTTCCTGTATATAAGTTCTTTACCGATCGCATATATGAATACAAGGAAAACTTTTCCACTTTGACTTTCTCTAAAAACATACTCCTCTGTTTCTCCCTGTTTTGGCCGTCCGTAACAGAGCACTACCATTGCTCCTGTTATTAGTGTTGTTATCAGAAAAACCAGGTGTCAGAAAGCACGTGAGATAGGTCTAAAGATCATAGAAGAAGAACATGCTGAACAATTTGCGAGATGTACGACTATGTTCTTGTGCTTCATCAGTCAAATCCTGGATCAACCGTCATTTTAGGGACTCAAAATGATGTATTTCAAAAATTCTATATCTGCTTTAATGCTTTGAAAGACGAATGGAAGACGACATGTCGACCTATATTGCATCTTGATGGAACGTTTCTTAGAGGATAGATGAAAGGTGAATTATTAACAACAGTTGGAAGAGACGCGGATGACTAAATCTATCTCGTTGCTTGGGCGATTGTTGATGTTGAGAACAAAATTAATTGGGAATGGTTTTTGACACTTTTGGTGGATGATTTGAATTTAGGAGTTGGACAAGGCTTTACAATGGTTTCAGATCAACAAAAAGGACTTATTCACACTATGAAAAATGTATTGCCATATGCGGAGCATAGGATGTGCACTAAACACATCTATGAAAATTGGAAGAAGAAACACAAAGGTTCTGAAAATAAGATATTTTTTTGGAAGGCGACTAAAGCATATAATCAAGTCATGTTTGATAAATGGCTCAAGGATTTAAAGATTTTATCACCAACAGCATATGAAGACCTAATGCATTATTCTATATTTCATTGGTCGATGTATATTTCTATTATTCATCTATATTTAAATTATCTTTTTATATCTCGATTTTTTTCTATGTTGGTTTAATTTGTTATCATTTGTGTAGGTGTTCTTTCACAGAATTTGCAAAGTGTGATGCAGTCGAAAATAACATGGGAGAGACATTCAATTCTACAATTAAAGATGCCCATGAAAAGCCAATTGTAGAAATGCTAGAAACTATCCGGAGGCAAGTGATAACAAGTAATTTGGTTAAGATGCAAGTTAGCCAAAGTTGGCTTGAGAGAATAACACCAAGAGCTAAAAGTCTTGTCAACAAACAAAAACAACGTGCTATCAAATGCATATCGTGTGGCTGTGGAGGAGGGCATTATGAAGTTGATCATAAATAGAAAAGTTTTCGAGTTAACATTAGAGGAGATGTTTCATGTAGCTGTCGAGCATATGAGATCAGTGGGATTTCTTGTTGCCATATCATTTCTACATTATGGGATGATACGATGGGAAATGGGCAACCCGAAGATTTGGTTTCAGATTCGTTTACTACTGATCATTGGAAAATATGTTATCAGAGTTTGATGCAACCGATTAACGGAATAAATTTATGGCCGTGCTCAAACATAAAAGTGGAAGCATCTTTAGAAAGGAAAATGCCTGGGAGACCTAAAAAGAAGAAAAGAATGCGCGATCCGTATGAAACCTCAGAAAGCTCTTTATCGCATCATGAGAGAGTTATGGTAAGATCTATAAACTGTTATTCATCCTTTTTATTTTTTTATTAACATATATAATTTGTATTATATAGAGATGTAGTCGTTGCCAACAATTTGGACACAACATACGAACTTGTCAGGCAACAAATACTAACTTACCTTTACGAAACGAGAAAAGGCCAGTCGGACGTCCACGAAAGAATCAGATATTTTATCTATTCTTCTAATGAATTTCTACTGTTAATTTTAAAAATTCAGTTATATAAATTAAATGTGATTTAGGTTGAGAAGACTAATACCTACAATCACATGGAAATGAACATGAGGAAACAAATTTATTAAGTCTGAATCATAAGGGTTGTGATGATATTTTGGCGACAATTTCAAACACTATATTTGGGTAAGGTGAATTATATTTTTGTTTTATTTGTATTAGTAAGACTTTGGTAATACTTTTTTAAAACTTATTTAATGAAAAATTAATGTTTTTTTTGGTAAATATAAAAAATTAATGTTGTTTGTAGAGAGACAATTGGAGATGATATATGTTTGGATCAACGGGTGATTGGTGGCATGAGAGATAATACCGTTCTTTCTTCAACTTTGTTCAAAGAATGTGAATGCACCAAATTGAAAGTCTCACGAAGAAAAATCTAAATTGAAAATTAGTCATATTTACGTAGTATTCTGTGTTATTGAATCTTTTAAAACTATGTTTTTTTCGTTTTCTATTCCAACTTCATTGAATATACTAGGCGAGACCCGCGCATCACGCGGGTGTTTTTTTTATTTTATTATAAAGATTTTATATATAGATTTAGTAAAAAAATATATATATTATTTGTTTGATTTAGAGGAAGTATTATCATAATATTAAATTGTTGTAAAATATGTATTTAAATAAGTAAAAAAGTGAGATTGTGTTTGTCCCTACAATTTTCCAACCTAATTTAAGTCCAATTACATTTTATTTTAATGCAAACAAACCCATCAATTACCCCATTAGCCAATAGCCAACATATTACAATTATTTTACTTTTACCACTCAAAACGCTAAATAATATTTGATTTCTTTTATAATATCAGCATAAGACTCTAACACAACATTACAAAAAAAAAGGGTACTTGAACATGGAATGAACAAAACTTCAATTCAATAGAAAGAGCACAGAAAAAACAAAATAACAATCTTAAAAAAGAGATATATCATCCTAGCAAAGATCCTCAAGAAGAAACGAGAGAACTTGGATGTGAGTTAGGATGACGATCGGTCATCTCGCAGTCTTTGAGCTCTCGTAGGCTTTCCATATTTTCACCTACAAGCCTTCGATATGTGCTCAAAAGCATTCGCATCAATTCACAAAGCAAACACTATAAATTTACAAAAAAGAAAATAATTGAAAGAAAGGGCAATGAAAAATCAGCAAAGAAATGAAACGAGTGCGTGATTAAATTTACAGAAAATGCACGAAAACCCACTGGATTTTGATCGATTTAGGACTAAATTCAACAGAAAATGAAAACAACATTATGGATTTCAAACTAAAAAATTACGAAAGCGAGAGGAAATCGAATTCATCAGACGAATTGGACTATTGCATCACAGATCTCAGACGACCGTCGTGAGAATTTGTAATCCAATCTCATCATTTGATACATACAAAAAAAAAGAACAAACAGAAGAACACAGAGCTTGCAAGAAGAGAGCAACCATAAAGACCAGGTTTCCGGCGAGGTTTTATAAGCACTTGATTCTGGCATTAGGGTTTTACGAAAATTACTGTGCTGCCCTCCATAGTTTTAGGAATTTACAATTTTGCCATTACATTGAAACGTCATCGTTTTCATGCCGATGAGGCAATTTTCGCCGCAGCTTCACCATCACTTCTCTAACCGAGCAACGCACCATCAATTCGTCTCTCAGTTGCCTCCTCCGCCGTCGCTGTCTACTGTCCTTCTATTCACTTCTTACTCCACTGCGTCGTCTCTGCCTCGCCGTAGATTCAACCTCCGGAAACGCCATCCTCCACCGGCGGAAGCTCTCGTTCCGACGGTTATTGTAGAAGAAGCTGGCGGCGATGACGATATCGGTGAGTCCGACGCGAAGAAGAGCCGTAACCTGCGGAAGCGCGAAGCTCGCCGTGCAGTCCGATGGGGTATGGAACTTGCTTCCTTCTCCAACGATCAGATCAAGCGGATCCTGAGGTGAGTTATCTGAATTTTTCGGAAGAATTTCATCGCGGCAATGACATGGAATTTCGCCGAAAGTTTGTAGTTTAAGTAATTGAATCTCTTCTCGAACCTGTTATTTTTCTGCGTTTTGTGGAAGAAAGAGCTGCGTCGCTTGAAGAAGATGTTTACGACGCATTGATGCTTGCGAAGGTATTGCTATTGTTGCTTTGTAATCTCTGCTATCTTGGTGTCTCTGATGATTTGATTTTGGGATCTTGAAGACAAGGTGTTTGTGTTTTGGTCGCAGAGACTAGGCCCAGATGTTCGAGAAGGAAAGCGGAGACAGTTCAACTATATCGGTGAGAACTTTTGTTTCCTCACATAGTCATGTTTGAATGGACACTGCATTTCTCACGGGAACTCCACAAATTGTGAAGTTCTGTTCCCTGTACGTTCCAAGTTCTCCGGTATAACAATGAGTTCTAAATAGAATTTTCTTATTATTTTCACTGAATGTTGCATAATTACACTGTTTAAAAGGCATCGACTCGGTGTTCAGCAAATTCGAAATCATGTGTTTGGACAGCAATATTAACTCATGTCAGTTTGTTAGGAAATTTATGTTTTAATCCATGGCATAGAACTTTGACAATTCAGGGCTCTTGCTTTGAATCATTTCTTCATAGTTTTGTCTTGTGTGTGATAGTTTATGATTATGTGTTGGTAAATTGGTATCAGGGAAGTTGTTGCGTGAAGTGGAACCTGATTTGATGGATACTTTGATCCATGCTACAAAGAACGGTGATCAAAGAACGCTTCAGGCACTGGTTAGTTCAGCAAAAAATAATATGGATGATGTTGGAGGTGAAAATGATGATGTAGAAACAGACTCTGAAGATGAAGTAGAGGTAAGCTTAAACGTCCTCTGTGATATATATGGAAGACAATGTCTAGCAGCTGTCGCGATTTGGACTATCTTATCACATTCTTTGTCTAGCCTTTTTCTGTTTACTGGTGGGCAAGAAGAATCTGGTTGTTTTTTGTACAACACTTATCGTCATATGTGATGTTGAAAGTACACAATTAATCACATTCGGAGGAACCATTTGCAGTGGTCAGACGAATACATCAGCGTGGCTGCTAGATGGTTTGATGGCCTGATTAGCCAGAATGTGAAAGTTACAAACGAAGTTTATTTGCTTCAGAGTGTTGATTTTGATCGGCAGGTTAGTAAAACACTGATAAGTACTACAGAAGGATTAGGGGCAAAGGTATGCAGCTAGTGTGGTGGTTGTTTGTGTGTGTAGATAGCATATAGGTGTTGACATTTGTTTGGCTGTTTTGTTAGTTGTTTCCTTAGGGTTGGTAGTAGTTAGAGGATTCTGTTAGGGAGGGGATTGTATAAAGAAAGGAGGAGGAGGGGGAAAGGGAAGGGGGATTTTCTGGTGGAGAACTGGGTGGGGAAGAGAGTAGGAGCCTCTCTCTAATCAAAGCTATCCGAAGTGTATGGTTTGGGTGTTCAATAAAGCTGCTGGAGTTTCTCTAAGGAGTGGTTCGAGCATCAGAACCTTAACAAATTGGTATCAGAGCAAGTCTGAGCCATGACGAAGAGCAACACGCAACGCTGGGAGCAATTGGAGGATACGGTCCATGACAGATGCGAGAAAATCGAAGAAACAATGGCAGATTTACAGAAGCAGTGTTCGAAAATGGATTACCTGGTGAAACAATGCTCGCGATTTGAGGCGATGGAGCAGATGCTGTCGAAGCTGTGTCGGTTGTTGGAAGCTGATTGCGATCGCCAGGATTCTTCTCCAGATTCGATTTCGCCGCCGGCTATAGGAGCTGACAGATCGCAATTCAATCGCGATCCAGAGCCGAAAGCCGATTGCGATCACGAACCGAAGATTCGTCCAGAGGTTCGAGAGGTGATTCTGCAGCCGAAAGACGAAGGCGATGTGCAGCAACAGGAGTGATTCATCGGAAACAACAGTTCGCACCTCAAGGTGATGCCGATCGCATCCGTCGATCGCATAGAGGCTAATCATGACCAGAACATACCGATTGGAGAATTGCCGATTGATCGTGACAAAGTCCCAAAGGTGCAGACAGCGGCTGGGTTTACAGATTCATGGGATAGGGGACTATCAAACAAAGTGCTTCCGAACCGAGTCGTCAGATCGAAGGAATCGCACTTGCGAAAGGTTGAAATGCCAGTCTTTGAAGGTAACAATGTTGTTGGTTGGATTACACGTGCTGAGAGTTATTTTGAATTAGGAGGCAGTAAGGAATTGGAAGGATTACGCTTGGCTTCGATGCGAGTTGAGGTGGAAAAGCAACTGAAGATACAGACACAACGATTGAAAGATGATGCTTTGCGTAGAGAAAGCTCGAACAGACTTCCAGATTTGTTGAAATTGGAAGAGTTGGAGCGAAATTCTCGATTGGTCCATGTCGGCGTTCCGCATCGAACGAAGACCAGGGAAGACTTCTACAGCCCTCTCTGTAACCACATCGTTGTCACCGACTCCGAACGCAAGGTTCAGATTTTCGGCGATGACATCGAGGTTCTGAATCAGTTTTACTCTAACATCGAGCAGGATTTATCACCGGCGGTTAGCCGTGACTTTCTCATCACTTACTGTAAAGCTTTATGCCAAACAAAGACGGAGAAAGCGAGGTTTGAAGAGAATAAGATTAGTGCTTGGAATATTCGAATTGAAACATTTTTTGCAATTGGAGGAGGTGCGGACAACGAGAAGCATCAATTGGCTGAAATAATAGATAGGAATGATAATGCTGGCGTGAATTCATGGTCCGGGTCAGTTTTAGAGTTTGGGGAAAAGGGGCTGTATACACGAGTTGACAGGGATTTGGACAAAAGTGCTGATTATGGAGAATTCATGGATAAGAAAAAACCTGTACCTGATGGGTGTGGGTGGAAGATGGTAAGGAGAGCCACGTGGTGGGGTGTAGTCATCATAACACACAAAAGTAAGGATAGTGGGAGAGAAAGGTTGGATGATGCTGTGTGGGTTGGAGAACGGTTATATTTTGATCAAAGTGGGAAAATTATAAGAGAGTTTGGTATGAAAATTCTGCAGAAAGTGGATTCCCATGAGGTGATGAAATTTGGTGCAAATTCACCGGGAACACAAATGTTGGAGGAGTTAAAACAGAGGTTGCAGTCAGCACAACAGAAGAGGAAGACTGGGGCTGATAAAGAGAGAAGAGATGTGGTATTTGAAGTGAGAGAAGGGGTGGAGTCCGAAGATGAAGCTGGTGGTGCAACCAAAAGAGATCAAGGATTTTAGCTTGAGGACAAGCTAAAGCTGAAGGGGGGAGTATTGATAAGTACTACAGAAGGATTAGGGGCAAAGGTATGCAGCTAGTGTGGTGGTTGTTTGTGTGTGTAGATAGCATATAGGTGTTGACATTTGTTTGGCTGTTTTGTTAGTTGTTTCCTTAGGGTTGGTAGTAGTTAGAGGATTCTGTTAGGGAGAGGATTGTATAAAGAAAGGAGGAGGAGGGGGAAAGGGAAGGGGGATTTTCTGGTGGAGAACTGGGTGGGGAAGAGAGGAGGAGCCTCTCTCTAATCAAAGCTATCCGAAGTGTATGGTTTGGGTGTTCAATAAAGCTGCTGGAGTTTCTCTAAGGAGTGGTTCGAGCATCAGAACCTTAACAAGTTCTTTGCTTGATGGGCTACAAAATTTTCTGGAATCTGCCGTCCTAAAATTTAAAATTGAAATGTATGGGTCTATAATGCATATTTTTAACAATAGAGGGGCCTCTGAGGAAGGTCAATAGTCTCTACAAGTTTGTCATATTCCAGAGCATCATTGTTTATTTATTTAGTCGTGACTCTTCTTCTGCCTTTGTTTTGATTTCATTGCCTTGACAGGAATTACGCAAGCTTGTTCGGAATCTGCGTTTGGCTCAAGAGCGACGTAAATCTGTAACCGAGGAGACTGAGAAGAAAATCAGTGCTGCTGTTGTGGCCGCCGAAAAGTCCCTTACCCGTTTCCTCTATTCCCTGGCAAAACAAGTGCAGGGTGGACAGAGTGATTCGTACTTGTAGATAATAAGTTGCAACTTTCATTTGCTATATTTTCTGCATGTCTGTTGCTCCATTGCATAATTCTTCTGTATTTGATTTAGTACAAACAGCAAATTACATCATTTTTCTTAGGAGGTCGTAATGATATCTAGGTACGGTGAGAATATTTATTCTGCATTTCTCATTGAGAGTAGGATGAGTTTGTTCAAGGATGTATCGCTAGTATACAATTTGCATTCATCAGTCGTAGTGTCACGCACTCTGCTAGCTTAAGATCTGATAAGTACTATAGAATGATTAGGGGTAAAGGTACGCAGCTAGTGGGGTGGTTGTTTGTTTGTGTAGATAGCATATAGGTGTTGACATTTGTTTGGCTGTTTTGTTAGCTGTTTCGCTAGGGTTGGTAGTAGTTTGAGGATTCTGTTAGGGAGGGGATTGTATAAAGAAAGGAGGAGGAGGGGGAAAGGGGATTAGGGATTTTCTGGTTGAGAATTGGGTGGGGAAGACGAAGAGAGTAGGAGCTCTCTCTAATCAAAGCTATCCAAAGTGTACCTGGTTTGGAGTTCAATAGAGCTACTGGAATTCCTCTAAGGAGCTGTTGAGAATTCTGAACCCTAACAAATTGGTATCAGAGCAAGTCTGAGCCATGACGAAGAACAACACGCAACGTTGGGAGCAATTGGAAGATACGGTCCATGACAGATGCGAGAAAATCGAAGAAACAATGGCAGATCTACAGAAGCAGTGTGCGAAAATGGATGAGCTGCAAAAACAATGTTCGAAAATCGATTCGATGGAGCAAATGTTGGAAAAACTGTGTCGAATGGTCGATGGGATCCAAAATCGTCAGGGATCTGGTCCTGAGACGATTCCGCCACCGATAACAAGTCAGGAAAGATCGCAAGGTGTTCGCGACACAAGTCCGAGAACTAGTGGCAATCCAGAGCCGCAAATTGTAGAGGATCGAGTACAGGAGGTTGAACAAGAGAGTAAGGATCCGATTCCAAAGACAGAAGCGGATAATGAATCGTGTCATCAAGAACGATTCATTGGGAGCAGTAATTCGCATTTCAAACAAATGGAGATGCCAGTATTCGAAGGTATGAATGTTAACGCCTGGATTACAAGAGCAAAAAGATACTTTGATATGGGACGTTGTTCAGAGAGTGAGAAGCTGAGATTTGCGGCCATGAGCATTGACAGACATGTGTTGAGCTGGTACGATTACCAGAATGGGAAGAATCCATTCCGAGATTGGACTGATGTAAGAGCGAGGATGATAAAAAGGTTCGGAGAAAAAAAAATAGGTTCACCGTTCGACAGACTGCTCTCTTTGCGACAAACAGGTACGATTGAGGAATATCTCTGTGATTTTGAGGAATTGTTAGCTCAAGTACCGCACACACCAGATCCTATGATAGATAGCACGTTTAAGAATGGATTGAAACCTGAAATCAAGGAGATCTTACAAGTGTTTCGACCAAAAGGGATGGATGAGATTGTAGATGTGGCATTGAGCATTGAGGGAAGCAAGCTCAGTACTGTTTGCATGGAGAACTGGGGAGAGGAGAGCAAGAATATGAGATCAGAAAATTTAGGTTCAATGTTTAGGACGATGTCATTGTCAACGGGGATTCAGAGCAAGCTGCAAAGTCAGCTGTCAAGAAACAACTCTCAAGAGAAAGGGAAACAGATAATGGGAGAGGAAAACAAATGCTGAAAGTGCAGGACAGGAAAGGAAATCGACATACAAGAGGATGTCAGATGCAGAGTTTGAAGAGAAGAGAAGGAAAGGAATGTGCTTCAGATGTGATGAAAAGTTCTTTGTTGGTCACAAATGTAAGCAGAAAGAATTGCAAGTTATCTTGGCAGAAGAAGAGACAAGTCAGGCAGTGGAAGGGAGAGAAGGGGTGGAGTCCGAAGATGAAGCTGGTGGTGCAACCGAAAGAGATCAGGGATTTTAGCTTGAGGACAAGCTAAAGCTGAAGGAGGGAGTATTGATAAGTACTATAGAATGATTAGGGGTAAAGGTACGCAGCTAGTGAGGTGGTTGTTTGTTTGTGTAGATAGCATATAGGTGTTGACATTTGTTTGGCTGTTTTGTTAGTTGTTTCGCTAGGGTTGGTAGTAGTTAGAGGATTCTGTTAGGGAGGGGATTGTATAAAGAAAGGAGGAGGAGGGGGAAAGGGGATTAGGGATTTTCTGGTTGAGAATTGGGTGGGGAAGAGAGTAGGAGCCTCTCTCTAATCAAAGCTATCCAAAGTGTACCTGGTTTGGAGTTCAATAGAGCTGTGTTGGAATTCCTCTAAGGAGCTGATGAGAATTCTGAACCCTAACAAGATCTTAGCTAAAGTGTGACTCAAGATATTGCAGACCCGAGTTTATGTTGTCTGGTTCAATAGTTCGGTTTGTTTTAGTGTTGGTTTGTATTTGGTTATTGCAGAACTTGTTAGCCCTGTTATTTGTCAGTTTTTTTATTTGTAACTGCATTAGTCAGTTTCTTTGATGTAGTTATATGGGTGGTTGTTGTAAGTTTAATGAATGTTAATGCAGAAAGTTTCAGAAAAAAATAGAGTCCGAAACAGAATTGATCATTTATTCATTCACGAGTTTGATTAGTACCCAAGAAAGTGTTCTGGTGTAGAGGAGAATTCGATTTGCAACAGTGGTATCAGAACTGCGTTGTTCTTCAAGGGACTGTGTGGAAGTTGTTTTCGAAATGGATCAAAGTGACGCTCTTAGAAAGTTACAAGGAAAGTAAATGCCATGGCCTACATATTGTTGGTTGTGTCTCCTTCGATCTTCACAAAGATTATGAAACTGGAGAGTGCCAAGGAAATATGAGACTTGTTGAAGGAGTATGAAGGAGAAGGAATAAAGGTCATGAATTTACTTCGAGACTTTGAGAGATAGGAAATGAAAACAAATGAAACAGTGAATGAGTTTATAGACAGATTGGTTGGCATTGCAAACTAGATCCGGATCTTGGGTACAAATGTGGGTGATGAGAAGATAGTGAAGAAGGTTATGGTTTCAGTGCCAGAGAGTTTCGAGGCTACTCTGGCTTCGTTTGAGAACATTAAGGACTTGAAAATTTTGAAGTTGTCTGAGGTTCTTAGTCCTATTCAAGTTTAAGAGCAGAGACATTAAATAAGGAATGAGGAGGCCATCAAAAGAGCATTGAAAGCAGAGGTGAAGGGAAATAGTACATGAAAGGGTAAGTAGAAGCAAAAGCAGAATGTAGAAAATCAGAACAAACAAGAAGGTACATCCGAAAAAGCAAATGCATGCGAGAACTATCCTGAACTCTATTGTGTTATATTGTGATAAAATGGTGTGGTACAAGCCAAAGAATCTAAATTACATCAATGATCCAAAACACATATTTAGACGCTTTCACTTGATAAAGGAAATTATAGATAGATGAGATATATAAATTTGTAAAATATCAACGGAGATAACATTGCTAATCTATTGACGAAATTCCCCCCATCGTCGAAGGATGAGGGTCATGTCATTAGATACTTAGTAGATCATAATTAGATCAAGTGAGGGATTGTTGGTTTTGCATAGAGAATTGATTCATCCCAAGTTGGTGCTCTAAAGAGAAATCTTAATTTTGCATAGACAATTGACTCACCCCCAGTTGGTTTTGTACAGACAATTGAATCGACAGAGTTATTCAACTTGGCCGAGTCAATCTCTAAAGGAAAATCGAGATTTGTACAGTCAGTTGACTTAGCCCGAGTCAATTGCAGCTCGGCCCGAACTGATGCCCAAAGTTGTGATTTTTTCGGAAAAAAATTGTCGGTCTTTGCGTCCATTCTTTTATGTCTCTTAGTTTTTATTTATGGAGAATGAACAAGTTTGTATATGACATGTTAATGCAAGGAAAGAACACCAAGAGAAGATTCAACATCTAGAAGATCTCAGATAAAAAGAGAAACATGCCAATATAAAGAAAGGGAAGGAACAACCAGCAAAGGAATGACTTGCAAGAGAAAATGAAACATGCCATTGAAGAAAAATGGAAAGAGTAAGCAAAAGGAATGAAGATAAAGAAAAGGAAAAACAAATATGATGAAACGAAATGGAAACCCTATGCAGGGGGCTGAGCATAAATACAGAGGCGTGCACAATAGAAGAGATCACCCAAGGAGAGAGAGAGTGTTTGAGTCGTGAAAGCTTTGGGCATAAACATATTTGTATGGGAAACACGGGTGAGTGATACTTGAGATAGAGTGAAGTGTATCTGAGGGGGAGCCTTCAAATAACAGGCGAACCGCTCAAAGGGTCTAGACGAGTCTAGGGTTACACGGGGTGTGCGAGGCACACATAGTGTATGAGCTGATAGAAATTTGATTTGTCTAATTCTCCTCAAAGTGTCCACGTGAACCACGTTTTCCGCTCTTTCCTATAAAATATAAAAACATCGAAATCGGAGTAAAATTATACTCGGTAAAGCCTATAAACATATAAATATCATAAAATATAATATATATATTATACAAAAATATATAAATATATACATATCATCAATTGGAGTAATAAATTCTGCACTTTCAAGGAATTAAAGCTTCTAACAAGGTTGGCTACCAAAAAAGGTGATGTTAAGTTGCAGTATTTGTTTTAAAGATATAAAATTTTTATTACTGTGATATTAAATTGATTTTTAATTAATTAAAGATACATTTGAATGATTCCTTTTTATGCTATTGGTATGTGGTACTAGGTTGGCGCTTGTTAATGGATTGACGTTAGAAAGATATGGAGTTGAAGTTGATGAAGTGATCAACAATATATTTTTTTATCATTGTTTATAGGTTATAAGAATTATGTTATAAAGATTGTAACAATTTCTTTACATTTGGTTTTAATTTGAAGTTAATATCTATGCATATTGTTTTAGAGAAAATCTAAAAAAAAACATTCAACTTTCAAATGTTACAAAAAAAACACTGAACTTTTTATTTTATCAAATAAATATTAAAATTTTTAAATTTGACAAAACAAACACTTAACTCTTTTACGATTATCAAAATAAACAAAATGGCCGACGTGGCACAAGGAGATGCGAACACGTCAGATTATTTTACTTAGTTTTTTTACAATTGAAAAAAATTCATGTATTTTTTTGGATCACTAAAAAAGTTCAGCAATTTTTTG